ATCAAGTGATTTTGAAATGTTCTTTTCCCAGTTTCTTAAACATCTGCCCAACTCTGGAGAACATTTACTTCATCTTAAAGCTCGTCTTATGATTTCACTAACTCATCTATTAATTTTCTTTGGTTACATTTAATAAAAGCATCTAATATAATTTTATCACTTCCTGCAAATCTTTGTAAATGGAATGCATTCATCTCTTCAAAGGTGGGTCAAACATGTATGTGTGCACACACATCTATCTGAAGCATTGGATTTCTACTTAATACATTCCCTCAAAAAAAAGAAAAAATCTTCAAATCTTCTGACACACTCTGGTTAAAGACATTTGTCATATCAGACAAAAATGATTAAGTTCTAAATCCCTTTTTCTTGTTGATCCGAGCACTAAATATGACTAGAATTTAAATTCTAACTTAGTTTGTTTGACCAATGAAATCTCTTTTCTATTATCATTGCACCAAGATATGTTTATGCTATTCTTCAATTTATAAGTTTCTTTTTTCAGGAACTTGAGGAACTTAGAGAGCAACTGAGAGACATGATGTTTCACTTGGAAGCTCAACAAAAACTAGCAGATGATGGTCTGGCTGTATCACAAAAAGAACTACAGGAGGGCCAAGTAATTGTTGGAGCTGCATCAGCTTCCTCCTCAACACCAGGAGGCTCAAACCATTCCAGTTCCTCCATGTCAAGTTCTACCAACTCTCGTCGAAGCCGGCAAAGAAAGCGCTGACACTATGATGCAGTCAAATGTCCTCCTCCCTGTGAGGTTATCTTCCTACTAACCTACTATTTTGGTGTTGCCTGCTACTGTGACAGGTTTTGTCTTGACTGAGTTAAGAAGAAACTAACAAAGCCTTTACTACCTTTGTTCATTTCTGCTTCTTTTTTTTTCTAATCAAAGTAAACCTCAGGCTATTTTGTCAATCATCTGTGATCTCACCATTGACATTCAAGATTCCCCCATGTAAGCTCTTGGCCAAACCAACCTTATAAAACTTTTTCAAAAGTCTTTCTAAGATTTCTCAAGTTTGTTTTGAGATGTTAAAATCTATTAAGAGTTTAAGGAATTTTAACTATTCATTTTATCATAAATTTTAAATCAAGTGATAGTGACATCACATTTTAATTTTAGTGACATCACATTTTAATTAAATTTAATTTTAGTGACATCACATTTTAATTAAATTAAGTGATAGAAATACATCACATTTTTTTTCTTTGTTTTTAGTATGAATAGATTGGGTGTGGAGGTATAAGTGGCCTAACAGTTAACAGCATAGAGAATGGAATTGGTAAACCAAGTTCAAACTCTGGCTGGGATAGTTTGTTTACTTTGTACTAATGCCCTTGGCAAAGGCATGAATCCACTTCTCCTTTCCTCTTCTGTTATGGGTAAATAGCTGAGTAGTTGGAACCCTTCAGCTTTTTAAGGCAGCCAACCATTGAATGTTGATAATAGGTCAGGAATTATTCCTTGTTGCTGCTACTATGATAATCTGATACAAGCTGTCATATGTTACTTGCAGACGAGATAGATATATATATATATATATATATAGGTGTACTGTCAAAGATACTATGAAGGGGAATTATTCAGTATGGCACCCCAACAATCTGAGTTAGTGGAAATATACATGTCTATGCATAAGACAAATTTTAATTAAGTTGTCATGACTGAAATTCAGAGCTGCACCATGAATTTCTGCTTTAATCATTTCAGTACATTAACGACTTCGATATTTATGAAGCTCAGTTAAGTATGACACAAGGCTACAAGCTTGATGTACTCAGTATGGATTGAATCTGCAGCAATGATAACACACACACATATATATATATATATATATATATATATATATATATATATATATAAACCTTGAAGTTGTTGAAAGAATTGCATTTATCAGAAAAGGAAATGTTGATATTTTTAGTTTTTAATGTTTTTTCCTTATTAATTTATTGTTATTGTTCTCTTTGGTTTTCTTTCTCTAGCGTTGCCTTACAATTAAAAAGTATATTCATAAGAAATTCACAAATAGTCGTGCATTTCTTCCACATTTTGTGTAGACTATGGTTTTTATTTTGAACCTAACATTTTTTTGATATCTTCTTTAAAACTTTTGAAGTTGATTAGTTCTATTATTTATACTACTGAAACGTTCACAATCATTCTTGTGATTCAAGTGGACTGTAGTGTTCTAGTTGTGAAGATGGAAGGAAAAGAAAAAAAGTATTAAATGACTCCTAAAGACACTGGATGTTACATATCCTTATAGGGCAAAGAATATGTCAGCTGAAATTTGTTTAAAACTAACAAAGATGAAGATTATAGTCAGAAAAAAGAACTTATTTATTTATTAAGTTTATTAAAAGGTGAGAACAGGTCACTTCCCTCAGTTTGCTTTTAACAAAAAAATAGTTTTCAAAGAATTTTTTGTTTTCTTCTTGGTCATTGCATTTGTTGGTTTCCTCTTTCAGATTAAATGGACTTAATTAAATTGCCTTCAAAACCAGTGCCATCATCGCCTTGTGTTGCTTAAAAGCCTAAGGCACTTAATCTGCTGACACACCTCTGTCCTCCTACTCCTTGCTTTTCTACACATTCACAGACAAGATGAGATTTATGAAATGAATTCTGCTCTGTTCCAGACGTTTATTGCTATTGCAGGCTTGGGTGGGCAGAGTTGATCTTGGATACTAGCTGGCTGCTGCCTGTCAATCCCATAGAATGCAAACAAAATTAACTTTTACAACACTTTTGTTTGTTTTTGCAAATAGATGACCCTTCAAAACATTTACTGTCTCTGTCCCATAATAATTATACTTGTATATACATTTCATACACTAAATGTGATGACTATTATTGGGCAGAAGTACTAGTACTTAGTCACTTTGTAAATCATTGGTTTTCAGAGGAATAAATTTCTGCATCACCTTCATACTTACAATTGTTTAGCTTTTCCTTCAACACCCACAGAAAATTGGACATAAGCAGAAATTAGTCATGCTGTCTACTAAATCTTGAATATATTACCCCCCCATTACTTTCACTCCTGTTTTTGTATTTCAAGTGGCTGACTACTGGGGAAAATAGATTCCACTAGAAAATCATTCTTTGACATTGCAAACCTTTAAATTTTGCCTTGGGATTGCCTGTTTTACAATGCCAAGCAAGTGTGGTCTACTTCACAGCTGAAATAGCAAACAGCATTTCTCTCTGATGCCAGAATTCAACCCAAAAATAGTTATTGGTTCTAATATTTTTGCCCTTCCTTTTAATCTACCATTTTGGTACTGATTCTTTGACAAGAGTTAGCATGATTCTGGTAACTCTTAGGCTAATATTTCATTAAGTGACTAAGAGTACTATATAAGGGTTGGTGCATACACTTCTAATATTCATTTTTTTTTTTTTTTTTTTTTTTTTTTTTTGTTCATATAGAGTAATTTTTCTTTACTTCAAAATCTTAAACAAGGGATTAAATTAAATCATGTAACATTTAGACAATTTGAGATATTGCTGTCTTGGTCGATCAACTTAAAACACTTTTGAGAAATGTTTCCCTTGAATCTTTGAACCACATTTTGATTTCTTGCTGCATTCACTAATTAAAGACAAGTAGTGTGTTAGCCCAAATATTTAGTTTGGTTTTCAGAAAAAAAAGCATTTAGATTCTGTGTAAATCATCTCTTGTCCTATGTATTGGGTAATTTTGCATTGGTCATGTAAATTTTAACCATTTGTGTCCCTCAGTGAATACATTTGTAATCCTATAAAATCTCCACTACTTTAGAGACAAAGAGAGACTGCTGGTTACAAAGCATGTCTGCTTTCATTGAAGCAACCATTTTAAAAGTAGGTTATAAACAATTTTTCTGCTCTTAGTACATTTATATCCTAGTAAAATCTACATCCTTCCTTTCTAAAATTGCTTCAATTTAATCTTAGTATTTTTAATATCAAATAATAATAATGGTTGTTGGCATAGTAACTACCTAGATCTTGCACCAGTCTGGTAACTATCATTTGTTGGAAATAGTGAACATTTGTGTATACTTGCAAAATCTAAACAGCATTTATTATTTTTGTGATGAGATATTTGTATTTTCATTATCTGAAATACTTCAATCTATTTTTTATTTTCTGGGAGTCCAAGAATCTTAGAGCAAAAACATCCCATGTTCTTATTTTATGAAAACTTCAGTGTGTGTGTATATATAAAAAAAAAAAATTTTTTCTCTCCCTATTTTCTTTTTAACACAACACATTCACTGTTAACGCAAACAACATACAATTGGAAATAAAATAGCTTCTAATAAAATTTGCACTTGCATTCTACACGTTGAATGCCCATCTTTCAGATGTCATCTTAATCACTAAAGCTTCTCTGGTTGGTGATTAAGCAGGTGTCAAATCTATTGTTCTCTCTACCCCATTTTTATTCTTAGTAATTTTTAATTCCGACTAACATTACTAGCTTGCTTTACTCACTCTTGTTGCTTTTAATCCATGTCATAAATTTGCTTAATTTAAAAAAAAAAAGTGCTATTTTCTCCATTCAAAACACTGGAAATTCATGAAAAATATTTTTTTAGATAAAAAAAATGGAACCCTATTCTAAGTATGTTGTGTTGGTTTGTGCTCGCTGGAGTTATAAACAAGTTTTCAAAAATTTCTTGCTCTAGTCATCTTGACTTGCCTGACAAGACGTGAAAAAGAAATTTCTGTTTGTAACTTGCTCAGATGCACTGAGATGTAAATCCTTTGTTTAGAAAAGAACTTAAGAGAACAAATTCTTCATTTAATTTTGGGAAGTGAAAACATTTAAGATGATGAAAGTAATTTTTTTCTTTTCTCAAGGAGGGTGAGGATGTTCAGAAATTCTTGACTGCCTGGGTCATTGTACTGAATGCAATTTTGTATAGAATTGCAATAATCCAGTTACTGATTACATCCTGAAACTGCCAAAATGATTAAGTGCCCATAATTAAAAATATATATATATATATATATAGCTTTGGGTCTGTCTGTCTGCCTGCCTGAACTTTGCTTCTCTGAATTTCTTTTTGTGTTAATTCTACTGCATTGTTGTTATCTCATTTCCTTTTACCAGTAGAAATTGGCTGTGAAATGCTATAATCGTGATCACAAAATGGCAAAATTTCTATGCCATTTTCTTGACAGTCTTATGCCATGCTGTTGTAAAAGCTCAAATTATCCTGTATTGCCAGTATTCATTCTGCAAATATATGCTGGTATTAAATCAATTGCAAAATACTAAATAGTTTTCTTAGTCTTCAATCCCAACATTAAGATCTCTTAGCAATCTGCCCAAAGCAGTTCCAAAATTCTAACTTGAAAGTTATTTTCAAATATCACCACTTAAATTAATTTTTATTATACTGATTTGCCATAATGATGAACTGTTCTTCTTTAAACCTGACCTATTTATATTCATTATAGAAACGCAGGTCACCACAGTATTTTGCCATTGTTAATTTATTACAGGATGTGTAATGGCTAAAAAAAAAACTAAAAAAGCCACACAAGTTATGTTAAACAATTCTTCCTGAGGAAAATGTTTGAAAACTTAAGACGTGGGGGAGACTGTATGAGAGAATGATTGTTCAGTCTGTATACAATCTGGAAAGTCCTTTCAATTGCTAAAGAAATAAACTATTTAAAAAACAAAAAAAAAACACTAGTTTGCAGATAATTGTTTTTTTTTTTTTTTTTTTTGTTTGCTTTTTTTTTAAGTGGGGATTTTATTAATTTACCAAATGCGATGACAATGACTGCTTTTCTCTAAACTCAAAATCTGTTGCTATAGATTGCTAGAATTTTCTCTGGTTCTACACATTCCAGTCCAGTTTGTCTCATTCCTTAAACACATCTTTAATTTTAAGTCAAACTATCACTTAAACATTCATCTGCTTTAATTTCATTTTGCAATTGATAGAATAGGGAGGCTGAGGATATTTTAAGGTAATCAACTTCCTCCTTGAAAACTTAAGTACCCAAACTAGAATTCAAAGTCTACAGGACTAATTTTATAAGTTTTTATTGACATTATTGGTATTCTTTGTAGAAAATTCCAGTTTTCCTATTTGAATCTTCTGATGGTGATTAAGTTAATGATTGAATAAACTCCTTTTCATTTATGACAAAATGTCATCAAATATTTAATAAAATATTGCAATAAATCAAATATTAATGCTGGTCATTATTTTAAGTGGGTAAAAATAAAGATTTGACATTTTCATTTTTCCCACTGAACCATAATAAATCTTAGAAGTTATGTAATTATAAAGTTCAGCCTAAAACCCAAAATTTATTTACTCAGAAAGTTGATAATTCTTGACTATTTACTTTTAAAAATTTCTTGTTAGGGACAAGAAAATATTTAACCTATTTTAGCTGTAGTTAAATTTATAAAACTTAAGTTTTAACATTTGAAAATTAAATGCTTCAAAATAGATCAATATTGGTAATAAATTTCAAACAAAATACATTTAAGACTGGAAAGTTGATAAGTTTTAAAAACAAGTTTGGATGCTTTTTATTTAATACATCCTATTTCCAGAGAATACACTTTCATGTCAAGTTGTCAAACAAATCCACTAGCAAAGATTAAAATCTCATACCAACATAAATAGGAGGCATTACTTTCAAAATAAGCCTCAATTTTATGAAGAGTAAATGCATATCAAGATTTGAACCCTACATTGCATCCCACTTCAAAGGTTAATAAGTTTTTCCTAGTGATTAAGGAAGGAAGTTATAAAAGACAAAAGCTTCAGTTATAGAATCTGCCTTATGTGTATGGCATTATTCAAATTGATAGATGAACATACTGATAAAATCTATTAACGACCCCACCCCATATACGATTTCATGTTCAGTATTTGTAACTCTGGAAGTTAAAAAAAAAAATATCTGACAGCTTTCTTTACAAGTTTTGTGCTACACTAACCAAGCAAAAATATTAAACTACACTTGTGCTTGGAATATGAACTTATTCTATTCTTGTAATAAATTTGCAAGCTAATTGCTACAATTCTAAGCCACAATAAGTTTGAACATCCCAACTCTGCCAAGTACATAATTGATGATATTAAAATAAAAAAAAAAGCAAAGAAATTGCTACAATATATTTTTTTTTTTTTTATTCATATTGCAATAAAATAAATTTTCATCACTTTCTCCAACAAATCTTATCTACACCTGAAGAATCATGATAAAAACCAAAAAAACAAGAATAAATTACTTTTCAGGGAATTGTCAAAATTTGAAACTTAAAGATTTCCCATGAGACAGAAAAAGACAGAAAACAATTAGATTTTCTTGCCTGTGTTCTTCCATTTTAAAAAAAAAAAAAAAAAAAAATTTATGGATTACACAATACGCCAAAGAAATGGCGCTTAAAGCAGGGAAACAAATTTTTTTTTTTTTTTTTTTTTTCAGTTTTGGTTAAGTAGTTAATCAGGTGTCTTCAG